CTTCTATTGCTTCTACTACTACTACTGATTTCCCCCTTATAGACATGCCCTTGCCTCATTTTCTTACTTAACCCAGGGCATGCATGTTACATTATAGCTTGTACTACTTTAACTTATTAACCCAAGGCAACCACTAGTTTTTAGTTAACTTCACTGAGAGAGGTAGTCTAAAGGCTTCCTCTCCGGTACAGCAGAGGAGATACGAGAAGCAAACACTACAATTACATATCTCCTCTGTTGCTGTTTCATCTCTGACATGACTTATCCCTCTTGATATATCAGACATTGGATAGGCCAATTTTTTGCCTTCTAGTGGCAACACTTGCTGTAATGCAAGGTCAAATCTCTTGTAGCATTTTGGCCATTATATCTTGCACTTCATCAATGCAAATACCAAAAAAGCCTTCCTTCTTGCACTTTATTGCATGGCCAACATTAAACCATACTTTAACTTTACTACTACAACTTCTACTACTACTACTACTACTACTACTACTACTACTACTACTACTACTACTACTACAACTACTACTACTACTACTACTACTACAACTACAACTACGACTACAACTACGACTACAACTACTATTACTACTACTACTACTGTTACTATTACTACTACTACTTCTACTGCTACTGTTACTACTACTGCTACTACCAATAATAACAACAACAATAATATCAACAACATAAAAATAATAACATTAATAATAATAATAATAATAATTATTATTATTATTATTATTATAATGCAGTTATATAAAAACTATTAAGCATAATTGTTACCAAATGATTATCATCAGTCAATTAAAAGCAACATACCTCATGCTAAGTGTATAAAATCCCTCCGCTCTATCACTGTGCCTCACTATGTAAGTTCCATTCTCAGTGAGCAGTTTCTCACAATGGTGTCTGGTAATTTTTCCATGATATTCCAACCCGTAATATGGGGGAGAATCTGGGGGACGGTCAGTGCAAAGTACGGCAGCAGGTTTGGGTGCCTCTTGTTGTAACTGGTATACTGTGAATGGAAACAAAACTGGTAAGATGAGTGTCTCAGTTTGCTATTTGGCACATATTTTTGCACCTTTATATCATGTGGTTTAAGAAGAACCACAATAGTTAGATGCTCTTTACAATAAAAATATACACCTATACTCTAAACTGACTATATGTAATCAAAACCACTTATCTATGGTCCCTACATATTCAAATGAAATCTCAACATATATTTACTATATGTCAAAGTAACATGAAGACCCAAAATTATTAATCTACACAAACAAGATGTAAAGAGATATTTGCAAACATACAATGAGTTCTATTTATACAGATTATTCTTATTTTCATCTTATGATAAAAAAAGAAATCAGAGAGCCATTGATGTGAATATTTATTCTGCTAATGAATATATTGGAGAATATCAACAATTTAACAAATTTTCTTCTAAGCCAAAGAAAAGGTACAACTACCCAGATTCAATTTGCAACTACAAAGAAGTTTCTTTGCAGAAAATACATGGAAATAAACATACTTCCAAATCTATTATAAACTAGGTACATCTATTCCTACTCTGTCGTACACATTCATTGCTTTGTAGGAAATACTTCTAAATATGCATGTAACCCATATGAAATACACTTCTCCAAACACATTATAAGGAACATCTACCCCAACATTGCCATACAATCTCATTAGTTTACAAACTAAAAAGATGCTAATGAAGCCAAATTCTATCTACACAATACACGGCCTCTTAAAAAGAAATACAGACATCAGTAACTACTTTTATCACACTTACATAATATGGAGTACCTCATAACCATGGCTAACAAACAAGTGATCCTCGTCAATAGTAAGTTGCAGGGCGTCTGCTCAAAGGAAGTTGATGCTGATACCTTTATAAGCTAACAAACAAGGCCTACTCTCACAGGAACTTAGTCTAGGCAGAATAATAAATAAATCTCACTTGCAAAACTATTGTCATTTTGATATTGAAGTCAAGGCTTACAAAAAGGCACAAGATTCAAACTACTATACAGAGATTGAAACATAAAATAAAATATTATACTTTTTCTTTCTAGTAAAAACCTCTCAGTGATAATATCAGGAAGAAGGAAGTCCTGCACGATAAGAAAAAAGAAAAAAAGTAGGAGAATGCTGATTGAGTAATTGTGTGTGTGTGTGTGTTTGTGTGTGTGTGTTTGTGTATATGTGTGTGTGTGTGTGTGTGTGTGTGTGTGTGTGTGTGTGTGTGTGTGTGTGTGTGTGTGTGTGTGTGTGTGTGTGTGTGTGTGTGTGTGTGTGTGTGTGTGTGTTTTGTGTGTGTTTGTGTGTGTTTTGTGTGTGTTTTGTGTGTGTTTTGTGTGTGTGTGTGTTTTGTGTGTGTGTGTTTTGGGTATGTGTGTGTTTTGTGTGTGTGTGTTTTGTGTGTGTGTGTTTTGTGTGTGTGTGTGTGTGTGTGTGTGTGTGTGTGTGTGTGTGTGTGTGTGTGTGTGTG